ACAAATTGAGAGGAGAAGGAGATAAAGATGCAAAAAAAGGTGATTTTTAAAGTATTATGAGTAATAATTCCCCAAAAATGTGAATGAATTAGAGCGGTGTAGCCCTTAATCAGTGTATCTAAAGACTCGGTGAAAAGTCTTCTTCCATTCATATCACTTTGTTTACCCTCCCTCCATAACCACAACCCTTGAACGTCCGCTTCAGAGAGGGAGTGTGCTGGCTGTGTAAACTGCTGCTGATGGTCTTATTCTCTAAAATAAGGCTGTGGTCAGTCTAGTATTGAATTGTCGAGGCTTTATAATCACCATCAGAACCTGGTCTTTTCTGGACAGGGTAAGGGAGGATGTGATCTCATGTGAATCACTATCCAAACATGTTAAAGGCACTGTAAGGAGTTTTTAACCAAGTCTGAAACAGTCTCACTCTTACACTGATGCTTCTATAAGGTTAAACGCAGAGCCGGCCCAAGCCTCAATGTGGCCCTGAGCAAAATTTGATTTTGGGGGCCTCTATTTCTGCCAATAATATTGACTGTTGATCATTCACACACCTACAAGAATCTCTTTGATTAACATTCCCTGACATGCAAACATACCTTTATCTTGGTGTATTTTCTCTTCTTCTTCTTTCTTTTCTCTGCTCCTGAAGGATATGTCCTTTTTTGTGACATTGTTTTTCCCCCACAACTACCTGGATGCTCAGTGCACATTGCCCAGCAGAAGGCACATAACGGTAGTGGAGCTTTGACATATCGGCAGTAAGAATCATAGGTCTACATCATCAGCAGCACTAAAATGTTTTTACTTTATTTTATTTTTACAGTAATATATATATTTGATCATACAGAAAGCATCATTCATACATGCAAAAAAAAAAAAAAAAGTTATTTTTTTGATTGCTCTTGGGGGCCCCCTATTGGCCGTGGGACCCTAAGCAGGCGCGTAGTTCTCTTATGCCTGAGGCCGGCTCTGGTAAAGCGGCATCATGTTCTGCAATCAAGTAAAAGAGCAACATAACTATTAACATGTTTGTATGTTTATGATGGTGTATAAATGCGTCTCTGCTACAAGACATTGACACAGACATGTTGTTCATAGCCTACTATTCGTTGTGGGTAATGTCAGACCCATATTGGGTGTTGGTGTCAAATAGAAATGTCAGTTTCACCCATAGAGTCCCCAGAATTAACACATTAAAGTTCCTTATAGTGTCTTTAACAGGCTGTTTACCTTACCTATAAAAGACATGCTCGATAAAGAAAGAGGGAAATGAAGACAAGGAGAATTTATCGAACATAAAATCTCCCAGAATCTTAAGTTATTATTATATATATTATTTAGTATTATATAGTTATATTATATAGTTCAAAGCCCACAGTTTTCCCTCCATAACAGGTCATGTTTTCAGATTTTAATAGGTTTACAAAGCTTTGTCTAATCAGAAAACAGTCTTGTTTACATCAAAATAGGTGCTTAATTGACTCACAAATGTCAGAACAGCTGAAAGAGCAGAGAGATCGAGGCACAAGAAGGAGAGGAAGATCATACGATAAGCAATAGTCCCTTAATTTGATGTTATATAATCACTGACATAACCTACTAAGGCCTTTATGATTATATGACAGTTTTAAGTACCTTCAACTGTCCTGGACTCCATTGTGTTAGATTTAGCAGGGTAAGTTTGAGTGCTTGTTTTGAAAATCACTATAAGCTTAATGTCTCACATTATTTTCTGTCTTTGACACAGAAATAGCCAAACTTCTGTCTACAGATGCAGCTCAAAAAGTTAGACTGTTTTTAAAAAGCTCTTTTTTTCACATATTTTGATCTAAAAAATGAAAGTTTTGTATATTTTAGATTCACCTCACACAACTATTTCATGCTTGGATCTTGATGATATTGGCTTCAGCTCACCAAATTTAGTCCACTTTCATGATACGTAAGAATATTGTGGAAAAAGTCCTGTTTCTTTTCAGTTATTTTAACCCTGAAAATCCTGTATTTTATCTAAGATCCACACGTCTCGTAGAAAAATACGCAAAACTTCTATTCTCTAGATTTCTGATGTGACAGACATGAGACTCACTGCTCACACAAGTGGTCGAAGTGCTTTAATAAGTCAACATGCACACTGAAAACTAAAGATTTCACAGCCTCCGATCAGCCGACACACTCCCTGTTTGACAGCTCTGTCAAAAACGCCTTTTATACTTTCTTTTAAACTCAGCCTTGAAACGTAAAAACTTTAAAACGATGTCTTGCAAACTGAGCCATTCCCTCAGAGAAGCTTCCAGCTGCTCCTTTTTTCACTGTGACTGTGTGTGACTGCAGAGTTGCTCTAAAATCCACTAGTCATGAGTTGCATCACTCAGATTGTTAACAAACTGTGGCTGAAAAAATACACCTTTATGGAAGTTCTTTGGGGGGTGAGTCAACTTTCACAGAACTTAGAAATTAGTGTCGGGGTGATTTTTTCCCCCAAAATTAAAGTTAAAAGAAAAGAAACAAACTTTTACAAACTTTTAGAAACTCTTAAAAACTGTTATTTGGTTTGAACCCAAGTTATCTTTGCTCTCTTCAGTTTTAACCTGTTCTTGCCTTCTTTATTTCTTGTCAGACCCCCAAAATTATGCAAAATCCAATAACTGCAGTAACCCTTTAATTAAAATCCCAGCACTTTTTTTTGTTGCAAGTCTATCACTTTTTTTAGCGTTGATATTTGATGTGTACTTCATTATAATATGTGTTGCTTTCTTGTTGCAAAGTGTTGCTCATACTGATGTGGTATTTCAGAGGATGTTTGTAATAGTCATGTTTAAAGAGGGATGAGAAACTTGAGAATTTGCTTGGAGTTCAGTCGTCAAGTGCCATCAGTTTACAAAGTCAGATATCCACAGTATTATCAGATGGAGGAACTTCGTTTTCCTTCAGTTCAAATCTCGCACCCTGGCTGTATTCTGCATGGGTTCACAGTGTAAGGATGTTTACAGTTCACCAGCACCCTGCAGATCTGAGTGAGCTTGGATGATTGGGACCTCATGTTGTTATTTCTGCGTCCTCATGAGAAGAAAAAACACATATATCTGCTTTCTCTTACAGAAAAGTGAAGGTAGTTTGATAACTGATGTCAAAACCTCACATGCTGAGAAGACGAGTCTGTGCAGAGTTTGACAGCGTTGGACTTTAATTCAGAGTTTTATCCAGCAGAGGGCGCTGCAGCCCTGCTTCCCGCGGCTATGGGAGACGATGGCGTTTCTGGATTGTGCTTTTCTTCAAACACTGAAACAGACACTGACACTGCTATCACAGAAACAGAACTTTAAAGGTGGTACTGGTGTACATTTCAACGTTTCAAACGTCGCTGTGGTGTGAAGTGGTCGTGTTCACATGCCATGGTGTCCGAGGAAAAAAATATATATTTTATTTTATTCTTAAAAGAGAAAGAGCTTGTGGTACTGGATATATAAACAAATACTTTTAAATCTATCCCTTATTAAAATTGTATCAGCATATTATTGAATTTTATCATAATGACCATTCTCATGTTTTGAAATAAACATTTATATACTTATGTACTTGTATTATCTCGTGTTTTGAGGGAGTAGCTTAGTTTCATATGAACAGCAGACAGCGATAACACTGTCTAATGCCTTTGGGAGGTAAACGTCAAAGTCTCCATGTATTAAACCTTCATAATAGAGTCCCTCATCCAGATAACCGGGAGAATATTTCCCGTCAGAGTGTATTTAAGCCAAACGCTTCCTCCCTCTGGGTTCACTGAGAGACAAACAGGGTTTCTGTGCCGCTGTGGATGTGCTCATACTGGTTTCAAGTAAAAAGCAAAAAAGGGCCAAGTCCCTGGAAAGTGTGAGCAGTTTCTTAAAGGAACATGAAACCTTAATTGATATGCTATTGTATTATAGCAAACCTCTTTGGATGAGTAAGATGGTAAAATTGATGTTTAAGCTGGTGTAAATATGTTAAAGCTGCTCCTGCTTCATTTGATCTTGAAATGTTGAGTACATCAATGCAGTTGTATGTTTCTGGTACCAAAAACAGTGTTGAATCACCGGTATGTGAAAAGTAAACATGTCCTGCATAAATAGAAAATGCAACAGCTCTTAATTTAAAGGGATATTCCAGCGTAAAATTAAAATTCATATTGTTGTTTTTAATGCTTGAGACCTTCCCCCACTGTCAGCCTAGCAGCTGGAGAAGCAGACCTGTTTTTACATTGATCTGTATAAGACATTCACAATAACAGATCAATTGGACTACCAAAAGTCTGCAGGATGAGGTAGCATTTAAATATGTGGATAACAAGGTAAGAAAAGACTGCTTTGTCCACTAGGGGGTGCCACAATAGACACAAACTGAGAGTTACTCACTGGAGCTTTAAATCTACATTATAACAGCATTATAAAAGAGTGCCAAAGCAGTAGGTTTGGGGTATTTTGTACTTTATCACATTGTTACTCATGAAGGTTCAGCTAACTGAGAGCGGCTTTGATAAGAAGTCCTGTCAAAATAAAGTCTGGGTTGTTTCTGTTTAACATCTGAAGTCCCTTAAAGGTGGGGTAGGCAGGATCTGAGGAAGTGACAGTTTCTGGGAGAAATCTTGAATGTAAACTCTACCCCTCCCAACAAGTTTTCCCCTCAGCTCCTCCTGTCTCCTCCCTCTCTGCTCTAACAAGCCCCGCCCACAAACAGACGCTCCTGCTCGCTCGTATCGTTCCAGTTAAATTCAGATATAAAGCAGATAAATCCTTCAGATCATTACAAATGGGGCCCAGTCAAGGTGAAAGTCAAAAGCATTGGTGCTACTGTAGATGCCAACAGACTACCAGCAAACACAATGTTTGCAGGACTTCTACAACGAGGATAAAGTGACATAGTCCAGGACCCGAGGGAGGACAGTTTAGCGATGGCGCTACAACACGCTACAGCAGGTCCGTTTGACAAGAAACACTTCTGTTACAGACACTTGTCTTACTTTGTTAAAGCGGTTTACCTGTCCAGCAGAAAGGTTACAGGGTCACCAAGATCCCCAAGCGTCCCCCATGGTTTATGTTGACCCGGCTTTTTAGCTCTTGTCCGGTCTACCTCCGTTTTAAGCGCCCGTTATTCCTCCAGAGTCTCCGGTATTTACTTTGTTTTCTTGCTTGTGTCGGCAGTCGTGGCCAAAGGAGGATTCAGACAATTTTCCGAACTTTCTGGTTGGTTTCTACTGTCTGATATTGTAGCACACTAACTTTGTTTGGGCTCCTGAACGTTTTTCATTGAGTGTGCATCAAAACATGAGGAAACAGCGTCCGCCTCACAACCAATCAGGTCGGAGAGGTGGAGAACGGCTTTGTTTACAGTCAGGAAGAGCGGGCTGCTCAAAAATTTTAAAATATTGACGACACAGACATAAGAGAACACAGAGATATCAAGATATTCCCAAATGTCATCAATAACTAATATCTATTGACTGATACTAAAAGCTTTTTTGTAAATCCACCACAAAAAAAGAGGTTTCCCTAACAGATTCCTGCCTACCCCACCTTTAGGGAGAGATTAAAACTTCACTCCACCTGGAGTATGATAGCATTGTTTAACATGTCGTGTAATGGCAGCGTTTAACCGCACAGAGGCACTTAAACATCTCCCTGAAGGCGCAGAGAGTAGATACCTGCAGAGAGTGACTGCACACCGTGGATGTTTAAATGAGAGTGTGACGGAAACCTAGTTTGATGCTAAAGATAGCCAACCTTTAGATGTGAGTCATGTATTACCTTTGAGTGTGTGTGTGTGTGTGTGTGTGTGTGTGTGTGTGTGTGTGTGTGTGTGTGTGTGTGTGTGTGTGTGTGTGTGCCCTCATGTTTATTTGCGAGTCAGTCGCCACATGAAGCAGTGGCCTGGATAACACGCCAGAGCAAATCCTTGTTACACATTTCATCTGGATTGTTTGACGGTCAGGTATTTCATATTCAGAGAGGGTGTTTGATTTTTCTTCTTTTTTATCTCTAACCACATTACAAGTGAAACATTAATCCACTAACACAGTGGAAAAGCGAGCGTGTATATGACACCTGACACTCACTGAAGAGAAAATTGAAAACGATACTGCAAATACAATTCTTCAGTGACGATGAGAGCTAACAGCGTGTGGGATGTTTGAAGAGGATGACACAAAGAGAGAGAGAGAGAGAGAGAGAGAGAGAGAGGGATGGGAGAGGCATGCTGATGATTTAGTGCCGCTGCATCGACCAGACTGTATAAAGTGAGGATAATCAATCACATGTTCCCTGCCTCTCACACATGCTTGGATTCGCCTCGTAATAAAACAAACAAAAGGCTCTTTGTCATGTGTCGAGGAGAATCGCTGAGATTGTTTCAAAGAATCAATCAGGGAACCATGAAGGATCATCTGGGCCTATTGTGCGGAGATCTTCCAAAAGTAGAAGCTTTTGTGCGGCGTATATGTGCTCGTAACCGCCTTCTGGTTTAGCGTGCGCATGTGCTCCCATGCATACACCTACACATCCACGTGTGTTCCCCAGCAAAGATGGCTGGCCTTTTGCTCACGCAGAATAATTGGGTCACATGTGTGAACAGCAGTCAGGAAGAATTTTAATCAAACTTACGAATCCCAAATGTACATCCACCCTCACGGCAATCAATTACCATCCAACTGAGAGCCAAGACTGCTGACAGTGCACGGACTGTGTGTGTGGAAGGAGAAGACAACAGAGCGGGGATTTCTGCATCTTTGAGGTGACCACATTCACCTTGTTGAGAGGTGAAGTCCGTGGGAAGCAAAAAGCGAGTGTTCATCCACCTCCACTTCTACCTCACATGTACTCCTCCCTCCCTCCCTCCCTCCTTCATTTCTCCTTCCATCTCTGAGGTGCTTTGTCTAGTAGGTAAATAGGAGCCAGGCACTGTGAGTGATGAGTTTATTAGCTACTGCCAGCTGTGACCAACCCTTGGGTGTTATTGGTGGGGCAGCAGTGTCTATGCATGCGTCTGGGTGGGGGCTCTGGGAGGAGGAGGAGGAGGAAGAGGAAGGGAGGAGGAGGAGGAGGGGGAGTCAGACACGAGGGAGTACCCCATGAGAACCAGAGAAACTCCCTGGCAACCGGAGACAGGATCAACAGTAAATGGGGCGCCCCCATTCATGCAGCAGCAGCAAGCAGCAGCGACATGGAGCCAAATGACAGAGATGGAGAGAGAGAGAGAGGTGGGGGTGTTCAAGGAGGGGAGGAAGGGAGGGTGGTGCAAATATGTGAATGAGAGTAAAACAGTTTGAAGCTGGTCAGCAGGAAACTTCCTTCCACTCCAATTAGTCTGTAACAGTGAAACTCGCAGGAACTGAGGAGTCCCTGAACTACGGTGGCCCTGGAGGTCAATCGTACAAACTCGTCATGATCACAGAAGGAAAAAAAGAAATTCTAAAATGAACAAATTCTAAATGAGTGATAATAAAACTGTTCTAAATCAGCAGAATGAGATTTTTCTGTCAATAGTCAAGACTTTGGCATTTAAAGGCCTTTAACACTCAAACCGGACTGATCATTCAAACGAGTCACAGATGCGAGCCAACCTAGCAGCCTTTTTTGTTGAAGGAAAGCAGTCGCTACACATGTAAAGGGCCTGCCTTGTCCACAGGGGGCGCCAAAATTGAGACAAGTTCCTCACAGGAATTTTAAAATCAGTTTGCTTTTTTTATCATTCAATTTTTTAATGTTTTGCGATTCGGTAGCTAGATATCCTTGGGCTTAAGGTCCTTACACACCGGGGCCGACGCGAATATAGAACGCAAGATTGCGAAATATTCTGAGGCGAATTTTGACGCGCCTGACTAAACACATCAAGCTCGATGTGATTTTGCCACTTTCCAGGGGGAAAAAGATGCATCCTGAGGAAGACTTTACCCTGGGAAAGTTCCGCCTCCTTCGCCTCTGATTGGCTAGAAAAGATGGAAACATCATCACACGCTCAAGCCAATCAGAGGCGATAAGATAAGCACATGAAACTATGGTAACAACCGTTAGCTTACGTTAGCACAGATGAAAGTTAAAACAAAGACGTTTAGCAAACTGTTTAAGCACATAAACTATCGTCATATCAGAAATCCGACACTATGACTCTCCACAAGTTGTCCTTCAGTTCGTTATCTTTGTAACGTTTGTGTCTTTTATCAAAAATCACTCTGTTCTCTGACAAGTAAACAATCAGCTGGTCGGCCATGTTGGATATTCCGGTGAATCTGACGTCGCAACGACATGCAATCTGATTGGTCAGAAGTGGACACACAGAATGTGAAACTTTAGAAAAATCAACGTGATTCGAAAAAAATAAATGCTGCAATATCGCAGGATGGGAAAATGTCGCTGATGTGAACTTTTGTACTGACAGGATACGGGTTCGAAAAAAAATATTGACGCCCGAAATAATCGCACATAAAAAACGGTGTGAAAGGACCTTTGGTCACGTGTATTTGGTTCATTCTAGCTACACAGATTTAAATATAATTCATGCATTTAGTGTTTTTGGTGTTCAGTGAGACAGATTCTGTGCATTTGACCTCCAAGGCCACCGTACTAAACGCTTCACAAGACCCTGTTTCAAGCAGGTCATCAAATCTTACAGCCTTGTAAAACCTAATCCAGACTCTGAGAAAGTAGAGCATATGGCTGCTTAATGGATGTGTAAGTTCAGTTATAAGCCCCATTAAGAATTTAAAACCGTGGGAGTAGGAGATATAGATCCTTTGTAGAGCACATCCTGACACCCACGCACGTGTTCGTGTATAAACAGGCCTTCACACACCTTCCCACATGTGCACAGCCGCCTCTCTGATGCTAATTGCCGCAATGTCATTCGTGATGAGTCAGTGGATCGCGGAGGTGTCTGTGAACGTGAATCTCGTTGTGGACCACAACCCATGTTAGGGTTATTACACGCGTGTCTAAGAGCTCGAGGGGAATCCAAATGCACCACAGTGGTCAGACTTGCCACACCCTCCCAGAGTAAACAAAGGCAGAGCTATATGTGAGCCATCAGGCCTTCAGAGATGGAGAAGTGAGGAGGAAAACAAACAAACAGGCTGATGCGTTTTAAAGAAGCGCGAGGCGTGTCTGATCCACGGACTAATATTGTAATTACAGTGAAATTGCCACTCGATTAGAGATGAGAGGTTATCTCCAAAACCGCCCCCTCGCTTTTACGCACACATGCGCAGGCTGCGTTTACTCCACGCACACACACGCACACACACACACACACACACACACACGCACGTACATTTACATACACTCATACACACACACACATTCCAAAATCCAGCCCTTTGTCTCGGCGGTAGCCCCGAAACAGGAATCCAGCAAGCGAAAGGAGGAGAGAGGAGCGTGTGTATGTACGGACCAGACTGTCTCCTCCCCCCACCGTATAAACGCACACACCACACTCTCTCCTCCCCCTGTTACCCCCCCTCCACAACCCCTCCTTCCTCCCACCTCCACACAGCCCTGCTCGGCCCCCGTGCCTTTGTGTGTATGTGTATGTGTATGTGTATGTGTATATGTGTGTGTGTGTGTGTGTGACTGTGAAGCTGACTGCGTACCCGAAAACCGTGTGGCGGATGCCTTGCGTACAAAAACGCTCTTTTGGATATTGGAGTGGGTCTGTTTCATTAATTCAAGAGGAAACAGTGAAACCTGCAGGTGCAAGTGGAGGGGAGGAACCAGGCGGACGCACGTGAAGCTCTTACTTCTCCAAAAGCCAGGAAATAGAGACGGAACAAGGCGCGCGTCAGGAGCAAGTGCAGCAAATTGGACTTTTCCTCCATCAGCAACCCTCCTCTCCTCTCCTCTCTCTCTCTCTCTCTTTTCTCTCGCCATCCTCGCTCCTCCTCTCTAGGTCTCCCCATTTACTCCATCTCTCTCCCCATTCTCTCAGCCTCCCTTCCCAGAATAGCCTCACTCAGAGATCTCGGTGTTTGGATTACGGGGGTGACTCAGGAGATGGATTAAAAGAAAAGGGAGTCTCTGCACCGCAAAACTGGAGCAGCACGCGCGACCACGCCGGGGGGGAAGGGGGCGACGGGACTCGGTGAATTCACGGAGCCCCCGGGACAGAGGTGAGTGCTCGCGGGCTGTCCGGTGTCTGTCCCTCCTTTCTCCCCCTCCTCGAGCATGAATCCAGCAGCTAACCCTCCGCTCCTCCAGCACATGGTCTTCACGTTTCCATAATTGATGATCTCATACGCAATCTGATGGGTTCTGGTTGTGGAGGAGTGACAGCTAACGTGTTGTCATTGTGCGGAATTACCCTTTAATTGTGGTTCATTTTCATTTTACTGCTCCCTACATGAGCAGCAAATGAGCTCAATGCATGTTTGGAAAATGCACCATCCATGTTATTGTGATCGTTTAACCAGGATCGAGATTGAGATCTATCTTACAAACCCTTCTGCCTTCTCACTTGAGCATGGCCCCCTCATGTGTCCCTGCCTCCTCAGGGCCCTGCAGTGGACATGCCTGTGCACACAGCACTGCAACTTTCCCAGATGAACTAGTCAAGTGAATATTGGATAATGGATAGAGTGTCCTGGTGCGCTTTATATTCAGCTTGTTCTGTAATTTTCAAGTTCATGTTTGTGAGCAAAGGGTCAATGAAAGAGCAGCGACTTTACATCCTGGTTTTACGCCCTGTCAGTGGGGAGACACGGCACTGTACTGTAAAATTTGAAAATCAGTGCAGCTGCCAAATTAATCCAATTTCAATCCAGAGTAGGGCTGGACGATAAAACAATAACGATATAAATCAAAAATTAATTTCCCTCAATATCAATATAAAACATGGTCAGTATGCTTTTCGATAACCAGCATCCTGCCATGTTTTGGAAGACTATACGAATAGCCAATGAAAAGGGGAGTTGCTCCGGGTCAGCTTCACGCTGAACAAATCATGTGCTGAATTAGAACCAAGTAGCGAACAACTGTATAGTAGCAGACTGCAGCTAAACGCAACCATAGCACTTTAACACGTGAAGCCGACAGCAAAGAAAATGAGTGTTACCACCAGCAGAAATGCAGACGATGGCTCAACAAATGACGACATCGTCGACAAAACTGGCACAAAAAAGTCAGTGATGTGGAGGTATTTAGTTTTTTTGAGGTCGGACATGAAGCAGAGTAATTTGCACTGCGAATTATGTCGAGTACATGTTCTTGCAAAATCGGAGAATACCTCAAATCTTTTTCACTGTCTGAAGCAGAGCCGCGCGGCAGAGCATGCACAATGCAAAAAGTTACAAACCCCGAGTGGAGCAAGGAGCCCATGGCGCCTGTGCAGCCGAAACAGCCGACCATATAGTCCACTTTCTCTGGTGCAATGCTTTACGACAAAACGTCGAAGACACACAAAGACCTCACAGATGCAGTAACTTATTGTAGTGCAAAAGACATGCTAAAAATAAGCACTGTTAAATTTCAATTAAAAGTAACAGGGGACGTTTAAGATTTGGAAGTGATTTTTTTAATATCGTGATATATATCGATATCGACTGATATGAAAAAAATATATTGTGATAAACTTTTTGCCGTATCGCCCAGCCCTAATCCAGAGCATGAGTTTAGTCTGCACCCTGTCAAGGCGTGTAAAGACACATCTCAAGCAAAGTAGATAGTAGCAAGAGGATCAGGTGTGTGTTAGTGGAGCAGAGGAACAGAATGAGCAAGGACTGAAAAGCTGGAGCATTAGCATTAACAAGTGTAACAAGCATTTATGGGCTCTAACTCTTTTAAAACATAATAGGCCAAATGGGAGACAACCTGGTAGCGATGAGCTGAAAGCAGGCATGTCGCCACCTGCTGTAGTAGAAGCTGAAATGCTTCTGCCGCTAATTCAAATCTTGCCTGTTGCGTGTAAATTGGGACAAGAACATGAGACTGATTAAACCGCCTAACTGAGATATGACCGCAGCTCGACTTAACTGTGCATTTAAACGTACTGAGAGAGTCACCTAAAGACCCTTTAATTGTTAGTTATAATGTTACAATATTACAAATTTATTAAGCATGAAGGCTTTTGTCCAGAGTGACGTACATCTGAGAGTGAATACAACACAAACAACGACCAGGAAACAACATAAGGGTCAGGTTGCCCAAGTCTTTCTTGCCAGTCATTAAACATGGTGACATTTTATGGTGGGCAGGGCTTCAAGTCACATTCACCTGCAGTTACTAGTTGGTTTGAGCTTGTTTTTGACAATGGTGGACAAAAACATGGGTCAGGGACTACGAGTATCTTTAATTTTGAGGACAGGCAGTGGTGGCAGCTACATTACTATCACTTCTTCTTTTCTGGTACCCAACAACATAAATTCTAAGACTCCTGTGTCGCTATCTACGTTGGGTTGGTGATGCCAGTTTACCTCCAGTTTTGCCAATTTAGCCTCTAGATACGACCATGGTGTGATTCTGGCCTCAACCTTTAAAGGGTGTAAAAGTCAGAGTCATTTTTTAACATAAAGACCAAATTTTAAGCTCAGGTCATCCTGTTCTTGGGTTACATCTGTAACTGCACTGTGATAGAATGGATACAAGTTCGGATTACTTTTTAATACCTCACTGCAAGTGGAAAAACTGCAGAGAAAAGTTCCTGTTTCTAACTGAATTTTCATCAAAATTAAGCCAAAGTTTCTATAAAAGTAAAGTTTTAATGCTTTTTGATGTTGTGTTACCAAATGTTTGGGGTCAAAAATACAAAGGCAAATGTTTTTGTCACTTCTTGTCACAAAAACAGACAGTAGATGAGACTTACTAAGTGTGTTCATATTGTTATTATTAGTTCATATGCAGCCTTTGTGGTAAAATGTTGAATACACTGATTGTTCGACCTACACAAAGCAAAGCCAGGTGGAGCCAAACAAAACATTTTCCAATAATTGAGCGCCTTCTCGTTCAGGCTGCACAAAATTCAAATTAATTGTAACGTCTTCAAAGTTGGACTACCTGGCCCTCAGGCACAGTTTGATTTCTCTGCACTCTGTTTGACATCAAGTGGATGCTCAGGGCAAATGAAAGATTTTCCTTTTTCATTGAAAGACATAAAAAGCAGAACAAAGGTATGTGATCAAGAGGTTTTCCACTTTTCTGTATCTCAGTTCAACCTCTCTTCTCCATCCCTCTATTTCAGACTACAGCTGCTAATTAAGTCAGTGTTGATCCATTTAATTAAAGGATTTTAAATCCAAGTTAACTGCAGGAAAAACTAAGATGAATGTTTGCTTCAGTCTATGAGACATTTTCTTGTTTTGTCTGACCAACAGTCCATTACCCAGGACCGGATTAGACTATGTAGACCAGATTAGACGATTAATCAATTAACTAATTGGCTTTCAACCACGAAACCAACTGGAAAGCACTACAAGAACATCTTAATTTGAGTAATTTTCTTCTCTGAGGGGATAGCATTTTTCACAGATTGTACACAGTATTTCAATTCAAACTTTAATATATGCTTGAGGGAAGAGAGAAGTTTCCTACAATATCAATGCTGTAACCATTAAAACGACCCAAAACACACTGGTAATCAATCACAAAAAATAATGGAGATCAATTCAAACAGTTTCAATTTGAAACTCAGTGATGAGAGAAAATAGTCTTGGAAGAACTTTAATCATCAGGTTGTTTGGAGGATATTGAAAGAATTCGGGGCTTTGCTAGATAATGTAGATGTCCAAGGTTCAGTGCAGGCCCAAGAGACTTTGAATACCGACCTATCAGTGGAACGCCACAGCTAGATTCCTAAACTCATCCTAACAAGCTTTCAGCGTGAGGAGGGAAATGCGAAAATACCAATGTGTAGTATATAGAATTAAAAGAGGAGCCGCTCTGTGCAGAAATATTTGAATGATTTGAAGCTCTCATGTCTGACCACGACCACAGAAATATCTGAACACTCACAGCAGTGAATAAGTGAGTGCAAATGTGATAGTATTTCAGAACTGCTGGTGTGAAGATTATTCAAAAGATTGACGGTTAATTCATGCAACTCTTTTCTTGTCTTTTATACGCTGGTCTCCATCTTTGATTTTATTGTGTGTTTTTCAACGGCTGTACTGTTTAAACTCAGTCCTGTTCAAGTTCTGCATTTTTCAGATTTTAAAGAAGTATATAGAAGATGAATAAAAACAGTACAAGAAGCGGTATGAATTATAAAGTTACTTTTGAATGACAAAAAGTAAATATAGTGGTAGAGTAGGTCGTCTCTATATTGAAGAGTTAGGGGTTTGGATCTCAGGGCGGTCCACATGCCAAAGTGTCCTTGGCCAAGATACTTGACCCTGCCCCCCTCGCTGGCTGCGCCCAGTGTTGTGTGAACGGGATTAGTCAAAAACTGATGGGCTTTGTACATATCAGCCTCTGCCATCTGTATGTGAATTAGTGCTGGACGATAATTCGATAACAATATATATCGATCGATAGACGTGTGGTGCGATAGAAAAAAAACGGGTCGATAAAAAGTTCGATAGAAAACAGTTTCCCTTTCTTTTTCATCATAGCCTATCATGTAGCTTTTACTACAGTCATTACTTCCTCCCAACCAATCACAAACGCAGACCCAGGTACGCTACGGCACCAAGCCCAGCCCCTATCAAACCACAACAGACAGCACGTGTATTAGAAAAAATGATACAGCAAGGAGAAGCGGAGGACATTGTCCCGAAAAAAAGGTTTCAGTAGTTCACCAGCATGGCAATGTTTTGGTTTTTAGAAGTCTGACAAAAAGCGAACAGCGGTCGTTTGCAAAATTTGCAGAGAATTAGTAAAAACCAAGTCTGGTAACACAACCAACTTGTTTTACCATCTAAACCGGTCGCACCCGCAGGAGTACGAGCTGTGTCGGCCGCGCCGCGGCTCCACGTCGTCGTCGGAGGAATCCTCTGGAACCGCTGCCAGCACCAGCACAAAGCAAGTGAAGCAGACCAAACTGGACTTCGTTTCTTGCCAAAATACGACAAAGCGTCCGAGCGGCATAAGGACATCACCCATGCAGTAACATGCTCCATAGCGAGGGACATACTGCCAATAACTACCGTTGAAAAGCCTGGCTTCGACCAGCTTCTAGCCACTCTCGACCCGCGATATGAAGTGCCCGGCCGCAAGTATTTCTCAAACACAGCGCTTCAGGCATGAAAATGGGTCAGGGGTTTAAAAGGTGAGAAGGGTGCGGAGGAAATACGTTCAAATGAGCTCATATTTTACAAAGACGCGAGTATTTGGATCATGGCTACTAGCAGGGGGTGCATTCGGCAGGGGTGCATTCTACGACACAACACCGGCGTGGATAAGTCCTGCTTCTCGTGCTTAGTTTGTGTATTAAGTCAATCACATGATAATAAAAAAAAAAATAAATCTCCCGACCCCGGGAGAAATATTTCAGTGTTCAGACACCAGGCTGTGGGCAGTTTCCCACACAGTTAAAACTGGTAGTATGCTATTCCCACCTAAAGCTATTCTGTTTATTTATATATTTGTTTGTTTTGTTTATTTTCATCAAAAGACTATTTAAATATTTATTTATAAGATTTTCTGGTCACTTTAGTCTTTATGTTTGTCAGTATTTACTGACGTCACTCAGGCCACTTAAGTTGATTTCTTTTTTTTTTAGTTCTTTTTTAAAAAACTTTCAGTTGTGGTAAAATAAAAAAGGTGGTTGAATAAAGGTTTGAATTTGAATTCAGTGCTTGTGTGTTCTTTATTAAAAGTAGGTCATTAAGCAATAGCATAAAACATCCAGGGCTGCAATTAAAATATATGTTAAATAATTATAATAATTATATCGATAATTATCGATATCGATCAATATGATTTATTTTTTATCGATATGCTTTCTTTCTATATCGTCCAGGCCTAATGTGAATGATTGAATGTGACGTGATGTAAAAATGCTTTGTGTGGTCAGAAGACGAGAGAAAGCACCTTATCCAACAAGGCATGAGAGTTCACTAAATCTAATCATCTAAGGCGTCTTTGAGCAGCTGTAAAAGTGCGTTATAGATAACATTTATTATTATTATCATTATTATTCATATGATATGACCAGTCACAGTCACTAGACTGAGCTAAACACTCACAGGAGATTTGGAATTAGCAATTTGGTAAAAAAAACTTTTTCCAGATTTGTCAGTTTAAAGCTCCTGTGAGAAGTTTTTAACTTTTTCAAAATAGACTGAAGTTCACATCGATGCCTTTTCATGACATTCAGATGCAAATAAAATAATCAGAAACAATATTATTGATTTTCATGTTGCCATTTTTAATGACTAAATCTAGGTGCCAAATGTGAAACAAACCAAAAGTTCCTTACAGGAGCTTTAACAGACACCTTAAAAAAATAGCTCAAGGTTTCCTTATTTTTGCTTTTGTGTAATTTCTTAAGTTTCTTTTTTTTACTACACCATATCAACATAATGTAATCAGCACAGTCACTGACATGTCTGATAAACCAGAAACTACACTTTTCTGCACAGTACTAGTACACGACTCCCTTTGCTCCTCCTCCTCCTCTTCCTGTTGTTGGTCAGTGAATCTTGCATCTTCAGATGGACCGCTGCTGTCCACCTCAGGCTGTACCTCCTTTACACGTAAACACAAACACAAATATAAATACACACACGCACCAAAGCAAAATGTGCTCCTGCTGCCAAAACTACACACACATAAAAACACTGCCGACATGTTGACAAGCACAAACACACAGCAGCTCAGACTCTGCATGCAAACAGTTCGCACTCACACACACACATGCATGTCGTGCCCCAGAGGACAAATGCTGGTGTGATAGATAAACGAGGGCCTTTTCTTCACTAAAGAGGCTCACTGTGTGTGCGTGTGTATGTATGTTTGTGTGTGTGTGTGTGTGTGTCGGGGGGGTGAGCTTTAAATGCTGACTGGAGTAGGTCACAGAGACCAAGCCGTTGGATGTATGACACCCAGGACCCTGCGTCTTCCTAAGCTGCTTTCAGCCACACTGGAATCTATCCATCCCAGTATCCCTGTTTCTGATCCTCACCCCCTCCCCTGCAACCTCCCCCTCCCTCACCCATCAGACGTCCACATTTACCAGACACATAAACTCCCAGCTACACTCTCCCGCTTTCCTTTTTTTGGACTGTTCGTCTTCCTCGTGTCTTTGATCTTCGCTTATCTTGTCCCCCGTTCTTTCCTATTCTCCTCTCGTCTCCTTGTCGCTCTTCTCCTCTTCCTTCCTCTTGTCTCCTTCCCTACTCTCTTCATTTCTAGCGGTCATGGAAATTAGACCGTAGAAGTCTTTGATTCTGCATGTCTTACGCCGCCTCAGGGTCAGGCCCTCTTATCTCGGAGTGAAAGAGAGAGGCAGACGCAGAGAAAGGAGGAAGGAGATGGAAAAGAAGAGGTGTTAACACAGAAAGAGAGAGATTTAAAAGGTGGGGATTGAAGGGACAGATTTTTCAACTCAAAACAAAGAGGGGGTAAATGTCAGAGAGAGAGGGGCAGGAAGAGAGAAAACAGGAAAGCTAAGTTAGCAAAAGATGGTAAAATCACCAAGAGAACAGCGATCAGGACTGATCCAGCTTTTTTGACTCAGGTGTCTTCAAGACTTATACGCATACCCAAAGAATAAGATCTTGGAATAAGATACAAATGCATCTAATAGCAGCCTGTTGCAGCACAGCCCAAGTAGATGACTTTAGTTGGAGTCCCATCTCTAATAAGGTAAATAGCCAGGGGCGTATCCAGAACGGTGATCTGAGGTGGCCCACCCTTCAAATGTGACTGGCCACCCCAATATCTTAAACAATGATTGCCTTTTTGCTTTGTCAGAGGTGTGTCTGTTAAAATCAACAAGTGTAAGAGGCATTAGAATTGAAATTAAGCACATTTCCTTTGATTGGTACGAACTTTGTATGATTATTTTATCAGAAAGATGAACATGCGAGGAATCCTTAAAGAAAATCAACGTAAACTCTCATCATAAACTGTTGATTACGTGTACAATACCTATCTCTTCTTCTACTCACTGCCAGTGGTAGTTTCTGTATTTTGTATTATTAATATTCCAATTTTGCACCAGCTACATTGTTATATGTCGGTGGATATCGTTCCCTTAAGTGCTTTTAACCAGGCAGTTCCTATAAATATGGAAGTAAAAGCTCCACAGAGTCTCAAATGAGCATCACCCCTCCTGTGATACGGCTGCTGGATGGATGTAATGAAAAATCTTTATTTTCTTTTTCTAATCGCACTTTCACCGCCATGAAATCCACTGGAACTGTCGTATTTTCTCCCAACAATCTACAAAATCTACTAACATCGCTCCACATCCTGACTCATCTTTCTTTTTCCCTCTTCTTCCTTGTGTGTCTTGTGTTCTCTTGCTCAGATTGTGGGGTGCCATTATGCAATCTGACTAATGATGGAAATATCTGTAGGAAGTGGCTGCTGATGGCATAATGGTGCAAGCGTGCCCCACATACAGACGCTGTTGTCCTTGTCGATGGAGTTACTGGTTCCATTCCTATCTACAACCCTTTGCTGCATGTTTCCCCCCTTCTCTCCACTCCGAACTTCACCTGTTACTCTTCAGCTGTCCTATCTAATAAACTGCCTGAAAACACATTTGTCCATGTAGATTCTCATTCATCCAGCTGAGAGCTAAGACCTGCATTGTGAGTTGTTATTTTAGAGCTAAAGAAGCTTCTTGGCGAAACGTCTTCTCAAACTCTACACAGCCCAGTTGCCTGATTTTGGAGTCTTCAAAAAGAAATCCAGTTTGTGTGATAAATACATATTTAGAGTAAAGGGTAAATAAATGTCATTCATTGGTGTGTGTGCGTGCCACCACTGCAGCAGTCAGCCTCAGTCAAAGAAGTCTGGACACGCCCCTTCAATAAGCCAATTACAGACAAGTCTAGACCCTCTGACATCGTAATGTAATCAGTGTTAAAGTCAACATCGAAAGAAGTGAGTGAACCTCGTGTTGTTGTCTGGAAACTGGACAAAACACAAAGTCAAAAACGAGAGGCCACTAGAAAGTGAAGATGGGAGCTGACTGAGAGAGTGATAAGTAAAATGGGACAGAGAGGTGGAGCGAGGTGGAGGAGGTAAAGAGCATGAGATGGAATGATAGAGAAGGAGGGGAATAGATGGAGGACAGAGATGCTGAGATAGAGAGACAGACAGAGAATAAGAAGAAACAGGGAGCTGGAGGGAGAGATGATGTGAATATTTAACTCTGTTTAGTTTTCCATTTGAGCCCTTGGCTCTTCCTTCTCTCTGAGGCCTCTGATCGCCTTCAGGTTACTGATAGCAGGAGACTTCTGTGAGTAAGACACATGTAGTGTGGGTTCCTAGTTGGAAGTTAAAAGGTTCCCTCTGAGCTGGAATCATATTTTTCACTTCATAGATTTCTACATACTTTTCAACTGAAGACATCTTAATAACCAGAACCACGCTGAAAAAAAACACTCAGTGTGGTTAATAACTGCATGAGCAGAGTTACGGGCTTAATTATTGAATGTGTACGGCTGAGCAAAAACAATTAATGCACCTCATTACCAAACAAAACCCTGACAAATATGCACTGAATACGTTTTAATTTCTGCTGACTAACGTAAGGTTTGAACTGTGTTTGAATTAACCATCCTCTGAGAACTTTCAGGACGATGTTTCATTCATCAGATCAGTCCAGAAACTTAAAGATCTTTTGGATGCTTTCAGAAATATCGATGGTAAAAATCCATACAAATGTTCTTAAACTCATCTGGTTTCTCAACAGGCTGTGATTGGTCCCACCCCAAGATGACCTCCCCCAAAAACAAAGCCAAGAAGAAGCCGCCCAAAGACAGCATGACGCTGCTGCCGTGCTTTTATTTTGTAGAGGTGAGTGTAGATGGACATATTGGTGAATCACTGTCTTTATTCAGCCGTTTTCTCGGCTCAGATGATTCAGGACGTTTACTGAGTCAATCAGACGCTGATTCACTCTCTGCTGTATGGAGTCGGATGAACGGTGAGGTCCTCTGGTGATTACATCTGTGGATTCCTGACCCCCACTGACAGAACAGTTTGGTGTTTTCCACGAGGAAATATCACCGTGTCATCACTTCTTCTCCTTTGTGTGTGTGTGTGTTTGTGTGAAGGTGTGTTTTCGTTTAGAGATGCGATAACCAGCGAATGAATCACTTCTTTCAGAGCAAATATTAAATGCGAGTCACTCTTTGTCCTTGTCTTTGTGTGCGTGTTTGTGTGTGTGTATGGTGTTTATGTGTGCGTACCTGTGTAGCTCCCCATCGTCCTGTCCTCCTTGGTGTCCCTTTACTTCCTGGAACTGACAGATGTGTTGTCCCCGGCGATGGTGGGCTTCCGTTGCTATGACCGCGACCTCTCCATGCCCTACGTCGAGACGGGCGATGAGCTCATCCCGCTGTTGATGCTGCTGAGTTTGGCCTTCGCCGGTCCTGCAGCATCTGTAAGTCAATCACTACCCCTAACACACACACACACACACACACACACACAGACTCCATACAGGATTGATGGTGGGGATTGAAGGACATTTGCAGAAACAATAAGGGAAGGTAATAGGAAGCTGTCTTTGTTATGATGGAGTATAATGGCCGCATGGATGAGGTTTAAAAAGTTCAGATTTTATGAATGAAGTTGTAAATATTGTGTGAATGAAGCTATAAAAATAAAGTTATATTAATATGAAATTAAAGTCTCTTTGTCTCGGTGTATAGAGAGAAAAGTTGTTATTTTACAAGAATAAAGTCACAGTATTAAAAGAAAAAAATGTTTTACAGTCATAATATAATTCGATAAAAGTTAAAAAGTTGTCATTTTAGGCCATAGTTATTTTTAATGCTACTTTTTTCCCCCATCGAAACTTACCCCACTTATTTGTCGTTTGTGTATTGATTTAATGACTTGACATTGATCAGGTTGTCTCAAGGGGTGCTTTTGTTGTCGAGAATTACGGGATTTTGACCAATCAGATTAGAGTATTGAGCACAGAAACAAAGTATTTCAAGATTTTTGTTTGGCTAAATTACTGCAGTAATCTAGTCTGTATATAGACTGTATCTAGACTGTATATACTATGGACAACTTGGTTCCGCCTTCTGCCAGTTCTGCCACTTCCTGAAACCAACATTGCGCAGTAGCGTTGTGCGCATTCAGCGGGAGAGTCGCAGAAAGTCACGGTGATGACGCTCGGCTCAAATAGCATACCCCCAGGTGAGCTACGCAATCCATGTACGCCTATAGGCTGTATCAAGTGTCAATCATAGAAAACATGAACCCCTAATAACTTTTAAAAACGGAGCTGTACAGAAAAAAGAGGACTTGAGCACAAACCAGTCTGACAGTAACTACATGTCAACATCACAACCAGGGGGAAAAAAAATGTTCTTTGTAATAAATTTCTAGAGTTTGTCCTCAGACCCATAAACTTTGCTGGCGGAGGCGGGATTTATGACCTATACTGCAGCGCGTCACTAGAGGGTGCTGTTCTTGGAGTGGCTTCACCCAGCGAGGAGACAGACGCTGTCTATTCTATATACAGTCTATGGGTTAGGTGCACATTTAGACTTTTTTATTTGTCACACACTTAAGTTGCAATTCTGTATTTTTAAAGCTCCAGTGTGGAATGTTTAGGTTGTATGAATTTTGGCGCCCCCTGTGGACAAAGCAGTGTTTGCATATCTCGTCCTCTTGTCACAAACTTTTATCCTCCTCTACCAAAGAAAGGCCCCTGCAGAAAAAAATTGTGTCAGTTCACCGTTTGATGCTGAGCAGGAGTGTCGGTCGGGTTTTACATTTTCTCAAAGAGGAACCTGAAAAGGCGAACGCTGAACTTTCATTCAAACAGGAAACAGTGATGTGGAATAAAAAGCCTCAGAACCAGCCGAGGATATTCCCCAGTGGGTTTGTCACAGAGCACGTTTCACTCATGAACAAATGCTGAACAAACTCCCCCTGTACTGGAGTCACCAGCATAAAATCATCACCGCAGAGGATCAGTGATCTCATGCGCGCAAATCGCACAGACGTAGACAAATAAATGGATCACTCAAGTGCACACATGTGCAGCTTTTCAAACACTCCCAAAGCAAATTCAATCTCCCTGCAGAAATGCATAATCAATGGAAACATTGATAAATACACACCTGACATTCCAATGCGCACACACAGACACGCAATAGGCCGCCCGATCAATACACACACACTCTCACACACAGTGCTAATCCATCAGCAGCATGGGAACGAGCAGATCTCTCCAAACACTCATCTATCACTCTGATTGGAAGTGATCACTGTTCAATAGCACCTGGCTTCCATTCTCTCCCTCACTGTAGATCACAATCACAGGAATGGATTTTTGACATTAGCAGCGCCTTTAGCTTCACTTCCTTCCTGCGGCTCAGCGTTTCGTTCTGTAGCTGTTCTTTGACAGATTTTCAATTTGTACATTATCGGGAAGAAAACGCTCCTCCCTTACCTTTCACCTACTTTCCTCTCCACAGATCATGATGGGGGAGGGCTTGATGTACTGTATGCAATCCAAACTGAAGTCATGTCCCAAGTCGGAGAGCAGCATCAACGCTGGAGGCTGCAGCTTCAACTCCTTCCTACGCAGAACCGTGCGCTTTGTGGGTACGTCCAACCACCGCTCCTTCAGGGGTTTCCTTTCTCATATATTAAGATCACAGTCTGATCCGCGACGTTTTAAAGGTTAGTGCAGTAATTCCCAAAGTGAAAGTATGACTCCAATGGAGGGGCAGAAGTGCAGTATGACAGATTAAAAAGCCTCGTAGAAAATCATGGCAGACAGTCCCTGAGAAGAGTGACACATTAGTTTTTCTTTTGTTATTTTGTTGGACTTCATCCTGGGGGCTGTTGCACAAAAGTAGAATTCAGAAATCCTGGATAAATAAAAAAGAAAGGCTTGACCTAGTGTGATGAGTTCATCCAGGTTCAATCTGTTGCATGTTTGCCGAGTCATGAAGAGGTGCGGCCGTGTCGAGCCAGGTGTAAGTAATTCCGGCAAGCGTGAGCTCGGTTTGGCTTTCTTGAGGTTGGTCAAAGATTCACGGACATAAACACTAAATGTTACTTAACAAAATGTCAAGTAACATGTAGTAAGACTGGTCATAGCTGGAGTTGAAGCTCATGTTAGATGTGCAGTGCAAAGTATGGACTGTGTGTTAAAAGGACTAAAAGAGGGGAGCCGTCAAAGAGGCCAGACGACAAGAAAAAAACAGTTTTACCAGCATCTCATCGGCACATAGATCAGATTAAAAATAGAAACTCAGATGGCAGATTTAAAGATTAAAGTGAAGAAGAAAAAAAAACTGCAGGATATGAAAATTGACCTTTGAGACACTGAGGCTAAATCCAATCAAAGTAACAGAAGGCCTCTTTAACTAAACGACACATCTGTGATAATTAAACAGGCTGATATAAATGAGGCAAAACATGGACGAGCGTGAAGCAGGTTAACTGCACAGAATAAACCTCTGTGGTAACTTAGGCAGCCCTCCTTTTGTGCAGCAGAGTCCAGTTCAGTTAGGATTTTACTGGAACTGTAGGGCTTGACAGTGCGATCATTTCACTCACATTTGCGACCAGATAGATGTGTGCGAATTGTAAAATGTATTTAGGGGCACATGTGTGAATAAAAAAAAAATAAGCAGAGGCAACAGATGTTTTGTCATGTAAATACCGCAGCGAAGTTAGTTTTAGGTTGAATATCTGACAGACGTTCACTGTGGATCCACCGATGTCTCTAGTTACAGTCAGACTGGTTTGTGCTCAAGTCCTCTTTTTTCTATGAAGCTCTGTTTTTAAAAGTTATTAGGGGGTTCATGTTTTCTATGATTGACACCTGATACAGCCTATTGGCGTTCAGAGATTGTGTAGCTCTCCCGGGGGATACGCTGTTTGAGCCGAGTGTCATCACAGCGACTCTCGCACCGAATGCGCACAACACTACTGCGCAGTGCTAGTTTTAGGAAATGAAGAAAAATCCCAGAAATACGGAGAGCTTTTCGGCTTCAAATCCGTATACAGATGGGAGGCGTATAGTATATACAGTCTAGGGGTTAAATCTACTCGGCATCCTCGCTGTCAACGTCGGTGTTGAATAAGGGACCATCAATAAATTACCTGTTGATGTTCTCAAAAAAGGCTGTTTTCCTTCAACAGCTTCCATGTCATGTGACCAAAAGACCAAAAATTGATTTCAAATAATAGTACTTATGTCGACCAGTAAGACGAACATTATTTGATCAATTTTCCGTGTGCCCCTAAAGTTCTTTTTGTGCTCCTTGTGAAAAAAGTTAAGCCCTGAAGTGGATCTGTTCTGTCTCTGTGCTCATGTGCTCAGTGTTTTTTCTTTATCTTCTAGTCTTTTCTAAAGTCTGAAGTTATTATACTTATATGTAAGACTTCGATTGATCTTGCACAACCATATCAATCATTTCTTTCATTTAATATCCTTGGCTTGAATGTCTCGTCTGTGTCTAATGAAAGTACAGACGGGTGGCTTCTATTCCAGTTTCCCTGTGCTGTAAAATACTTGATATATAAGAGTCACAAACTCAGTGTTTAGAGGGATAACATCAGAGGAGTATTTTCCAACTGCCTTTAGGTCGAAGTTTTAGAGTAGAAAATGAACCAGTTTTTCTCATATATGCTCATTCTGTTGCTAACAAAGAGGCTTAAAAAAGAATCTTCATCACAGGATCCTGAATAAACACCTCAGTGAAGCGATGCTCATCATAGAGGAAGGGATTGTTTGCTGCATACGTGTGAAAACATTTTCAAAACAGTGTTTACCTTCAGATGTGTTCGTTCTCACAAGTGTGTTTAACTGTTACCACACATTTGCTATTTTTGACTGAGTTGAGCATTAAATGTGTTAAACGCCAGCTCACCTTTGAGAATTTCACAACACATGCTGTCAAATATGAGGAGTAGAAGTTTGGGAGTGTTAAAATGGAGATTGGGTTACAAACAGGCTAACTATGTGGAGAGATGTCTGCTGTCAGGAGTGAGGAACCAATTTCTGTTGTTTTCAAGATGGAAATCAGTTTTGGCGGGGAGTAATTCGGCTCACCGGCTGAGCCCTCAAACGTGATTCCATTTCAGGGTGTCAGGATAAGCTAATTACATGCTTTAAATGAAGGGTGACTTAAAATGAAGCAGACTTGATATAATGCTCCACGGGAAATATCTGGAGGCTGACATTGAGCTTTGAAGTGAAAAGAGTAAATCACCTCGCCAAATGTGACTGTCTGAGGAAGAAAAAGCTTCATAAGCGAACAGACTGAAGGATGCTGGTGTCACTTTAGGATGTTGGAGGAAAAATTTAGCGTTGTTGTTGTTTTTTTTCTTTACCACTGCAGGTGTTCGCAAATGAACAGCTGAATGTGAGGGGAAACCTCCAGGGGCTGTTAGTTCATTTACTGAGGCTGCCTCTAAATCTGTCTCCAACCTCTCTCCCTCTCCCTCAGGTGTTCATGTGTTCGGTCTCCTGGCAACAGCCTTGGTGACAGATGTCATCCAGTTAGCGACTGGTTACCACGCCCCTTTCTTCCTCACCGTCTGCCAGCCCAATTATACGGCACCGGGGGTGTCATGTGACAATAATGCCTACATCACACGGGACATCTGCATGGGGAAAGACCAGTACGCCATCATGTCGGCGAGGTAGGACACTGTCTGCATGAGCTGATTCTCATGCTTTGACATTTAGCTTTGTAGCTCTACTGCTCAAGTACCATTAAAGGCAAATGCAGCAATATTAGACACTTATACTGGCTAGATAATGCAGAAAACCATTAGCAAACATACATAATTGGATATTTTCCCGAGGTTCATACAAAGGCTTCAGAGCGCCTCATTAAGCTCCAGTGATAGGATGACTTTCAGAAGTTGCTCAGTATATCCAAACTTTCAGAATAAACTCTAAAGCAGGAGTCGACAAACTCATTAACATCTGAACTGGATTAAAGGAGATTAAAACGTCTAAAGAGTTGTTTTGTTACAGTTGGAGTTTTCTAAATGATGTAATATCTGCTCGTTCGGTTCAATTGTCCTTAAAAAGTGACAGTAACATGCAGGTGCTGCGGCTCGCTTTAGTTTTGCTCTCTTTAGCATACACACACACACACACACACACACACACACACACACACACCGGTCAAGCTATAGCAGATGGGTATTAGACATCTTGGGCATAATGAGCGCATGCAGACATAAGAGATTACAGCGAAATAAAGCTGATATGGGGATAATCCTGGAGGTACAAAGGTGCAAGAAATTAACTGTTTTTACTCAAAATGCAAAACAAAAACTATTACAACACGATGCATAGCCAAGACACGCAGCAATAACTTGACCCTATTTGTAAAAAAGTCCAAATGTTTCTACTTTGAGACTTGTGAGGACTGTTATAGACGTAGTGCGTCTCCTTATTCTAACCTTAAGAGAGGATTAGTCACAGTCTGAGAGGTATGTAAGATTAATACGTGTGAAATCTTGACCGAGTCTTGGCAAAGAGACCAGAATCGGCTTCAGATAACGTGTCTGAGGAGGATCCAAAGTGACTCATCTTCTCGCTGTGTTAACAGAATTCAGTCAGGACCAGTTTGGCTGAGGTATTAATAAATTTAAGATGATTTAAGGGTAAGAAAACACTTAAAAAAGTTACAATTAAGTTCTGTTTAACTACAGGTCATGTGGTTAGGTTTCTCTGTCTAGTACTTGGCGGCTTGGACACCATTGACATAAAAAAATGACAAAAATAACAAAAATAAAGTTAATTTTTTAAACTAATCTCTAATTCCGGTGCCAGCTGAGTTTCTTGCTGTAATTAGCTCACTGTTAAGATTGAATCAGACCTCAAACAGATCTTTCCAAAGACGGACAAACCCGAGCTCACACGTCTTTAAAGAGAGAGTGTAAACAGTCATTAACACAGCTAAATAAGATTCAGTTAAATAAGATTCAGTTTTATCTAGATCTTCATTAGCGGCCTTGACAATAACTCATTTGCACTCCTCTAATGTTTGTGCCAAAGCCCCACAGTATTCTGTTTGTGTTTATTAATGCTCACATCCAATGATGAGTACCCAGTGTGACAAACGCAGCCGAGCAGGCGCTCAGGTTTAACGTCAAATAAAATCAAGAGCTGAGAACTCACCCGAGCCGCCGTGACAAACACATTCAGGTTTATTCAAAGGGCCGGTAAACACAGACTGCGCACAACCTTTTCTGTGAAAACATTTATCTTTCTCTCCCTGCTTTCACTCTGTGACACCTAACTCTTCGCCTTTCTCCCCCCCAGGAAAACATTTCCATCCCAGCATGCAACGCTCTCCGGCTTCGCTGCTGTCTATATCTCCGTAAGCACTTCTTTCTTTGTGATCCTTAGAGGTGGTGTTTCTAGCACTGTCTGCTTGCCTGCGTGTATCTCTGAATGTTAATGTGATTTATGGCTTGAAGTGTTTGAAATGTCTTTTTTTATCCTTGAATTTTTTTTGTTCTCTTATAAACTTTTGTAAGTTTGTGCAGAAGACGACAAGTTTGATTCATCTGTTAAGTTGTTTTTGTTCACCATCTGCAGTTTCTATTTTAATACTTTAAGATACTTTGCTGCTGGCAACGGGAGATTGATTCCTGCATAGGAGAGAAGTTTGAGCTGGAGTCAAATCGCTGTCATTGTGTACAAAAGTCATGATTGCATTCGAGTGTTTACTCACCGGGAGAAGTCCAGATTTTAGACTTCAGCACCCTCAGGCGAGCCCACTAAGCCGATGAATCTGTAAAGTTGTGTTTTATTTGTTCTGGCAGAAGAGTCTGGTCGCCCTCACATTCAGACAGATATCTGTGCGACCTAATTCAGGTCAGGCCAATCACAGCCGTTCATCTGATGTGACGTGGATTTTAGACTTGGGGCTCTTTGGAAATCAAGATGGCCGCCGCTACATGGCGAGGGTCTTTAATCCTGATTGATTTAGCTTTTAAAAAACTTAAAACATTTGTTTATGTAATGTATTAATGGTGTCTGTTGGCAACCAAATCATGCCAAATATTGGTATGAAAAACTGAACTAGAAGCTACTAGAATTAATGTTTCATGTCCTGGAAAGCTAGCTACCTTAGCTGCAAACTGCAACTGAACACTTACAGTTGTTACTAAAATCGTTGAAATTCATCTGCTATTTCTTGCCAATGTTCCTCTTTTTCCGTCTGTCAGGGTCATCCCTCAACAACATATCACATATCCTCTGTTTTAAAGATCAGGCAGATGCGCCAGCTCTATCATTCCTCTTTCGTTTATTGTTTACAGCCATTCGTCTGATGTGATGCGAACTTTAGACTTGGGGCTCTTTGGAATCTAAAATGGCTGCAACTAACTGGGGAGGGTCTTTAATCCTGATTGATTTAGCACTTAAAAAACTCAAATATTTGTTCATGTAATGTACTAGTGGTGTCTGTTGGCAACCAAATCATGCCAAATATTGATATGAAAGACTGAACTAGAAGCTACTAGAATTAATGTTTCACGTCCTGTAAAGCTAGCTACCTTTGCTGCAAACCGCAATGAAACACTTGATAAAATCGTTGAAATTCATCTGCTATTTCTCACCAATGTTCCTCTTTTTCCGTCTGTCAGGGTCATCCCTCAACAACATATCTCATATCCTCTGTTTTAAAGATCAGGGCAGACGCGCCAGCTCTATCATTCCTCTTTCGTTTGTTGTTTACAGCCATTCGTCTGATGTGATGTGAATTTTAGACTTGGGGCTCTTTGGAATTTAAGATGGCTGCAGCTAACTGGGGAGGGTCTTTAACCCTGATTGATTAAGCTTTTAAAAAACTTAAAACATATGTTCATGTAATGTAACTGGTTTGTGCTCAAGTCCTCTTTTTTTCTGTACAGCTCCATTTTTAAAAGTTATTAGGGGGTTTAAGTTTTCTATGATTGACACTTGATACAGCCTATTGGCGCTCAGGGATACGCTGTTTGAGCCGAGCGTCATCACAGCGACTCTCTTGCCAAATGCGCACAATGCTACTGCGCAAGTGGTGGAGTGCGTACAACGCTACTGTGCAATGTTGCTTTCAGGAAATGGAGAAAAAACGCAGAATTACAGAGAGCTTTTTTGGCTTCAAATCCATATACTGGAGGAAGGCAGAACCAAGTTGTCCATAGTTTATACAGTCTGTGGTCTCAGCTCCATACAGCTGTTGTGTTGAGCTGAATGAAGTTGTGTAGTCTGACCTCAACAATGGACATCATCCAAGTGTAAACAGCAATAAAAAAAAGAATCTATCTTTACGTAAACTGACTTAACTTGAAGGACAGGACTTCTAATGAACTTATCTCCATAATTAAAAGAGACAAAAAAAGGGATTACCCAAAAACTCAATAGTGTCACAAAAACCCCCTTGATTGGAAATCCCAAGGAAACCAAACCAGTCAAATTTACAAAAGGTTTGTAGGCTGAAGACAGAGGACCGCTGCTGTCAGTTTGGACGCCAACCATTGTCTGCGAGGCGCTCTTTTTCAAACAGAGGATTTCTGGGAACTGGCCAATCCAATGGACCCCCTCCAGACTGAATGGGTCCATCTCTTTAGCCAGCCGTTCATTCACACTCAGACACAGATCCACAACACTGACAGAACACTGACTCTGACAACCTGAACAGTATGAAGATTTACTAAATGAAGGTTACAACCAGGGCCATGAGGTTAAAGCAAACAGGAAGAAAGAGGACATTTTTAAGGCCTCAAACTGATCCTAGTTTCTGTCAAATTTTGCACTGGAGGAATTCTCATGGTTACATATTGTAGCGCTCATATTTATGTCCGAAAGCATACTGTTGAGCTTTGTCCAGTGCTGACTGCAGCAGTTCAGGAGCTGTTTGGCGAAGTAGCACTGTCATATTTCCTAGAGGTAACGACCTCACAATTACACACACACACACACACACACACACACACACACACACACACACACACACACACACACACACACACACACACACACACACACACACACACACACACACTTTCTTTCCCGGATGGCTACTGCAAGCCACTGGCCGCATCACTGCAGCCTCACTGAGCCCAGAGCGTGCTCATTAAAGCTCACCAGGCAGATTTCTGATGAGAGCGAAAAAGGCGAGAGGGGAGGAAGAGAGCAACCGCTTTGGCAGCTGGAGATACAGCCTGTTGTCTGATCCCTGTGAAGTTAAGAAGCAGATCAAAAACACTAAAATCAGATCATTTCTCTGCAGTTTTTCTTTTTAATGACCTCCACGTTAGCTCTGCAGTCAGTCTGTGTGGGAAATTACAATGATGGGAACTACCTTTATTATTTTTCTGCTGTCTTTTTCAAAAGGAATTCAAGGAAACTCAACATATCACTCCTCAATATATCAAATATATAAAAACTGAGTGAATATATATGTTTAATGTCACCCTGCTGACAGATCCCACTCGGCTCTCTTACTGCAAAAAAAAAGAGGTCTTTTTCATTCTCAATGCTCGACGGACAGGCTCGTTAAAATGGATATTTTTGCAAAGCCGGCTTTTCTGTCACTCAGCTGCTGTACATTTTATGTAAACCAAATATAGCGCACATGCGGGGAATTTAGATGTAGCTGTTAGTATATTCACCCTGTCTGCCTGTGACCTTCCCGCTGCCCTCGCTCTCAGTGAGCTGCCACAGAAACTTGATTTTAATGATCTTGTTAACCTTGTAGACAGCCTGCAAAAACAGCTGGAACGTCAATCAGTCGAGGCAGTTTTTGTCCAGATTAACATGATTCACAGACAGTACGAGACTTCATCTGATTCTCGACTTGCATGTTTCTCCTCTCACCGATGCAGATGTATTTCAACGCCAGCATCAGCAGCACGACCAAACTCCTGAAACCGCTGCTGGTGTTTGCTTTCTGCATGGCGGCGGGCCTCGCCGGGCTGACGCAGATCACTCAGCATCGCAGTCACCCGATAGATGTCTACGTGGGATACCTGATAGGAGCAGGCATTGGAGTCTACTTGGTAAGTTGGGCGGCATGAGCCCAGGAGGTAGAGCAGTTGTTCCCCCCCTATCTGTAGTCTGTCTGTTGTGTCCTTGAGCAAGACACTTAACCCACCTTGCTCCCAGTGTGTGTCCTCCACTGGTGTGTGATTGTGAGTGTTGTGTGGTGGTGGTCGGAGAGGCCGTAGGCGCAAACTGGCAGCAACGTTTCCGTCAGTCTGGCCCAGAACAGCTGTGAATACTGAGGTAGTTTACCACCACCAAGGTGTGGTAAACACCTCGAGGGTCTCTGATAAAGGGCTGTATGAAATTTGATGCATTATTACTATTATTGTGACATTTAACAAGGTGTATAAGTGTGTGACAGGCCCAGCTTTTAAAATCATCAAGAAAATTTATGAAAGAACTTGTTTTGCTTGGCAGGTTACGTGATAATTACTTTTTTATGACTATATAACTGAGAAAGGTTAGAAAAACTACACGGTCTTGAATGGACTTGCTGTCACAGGGTTTTATTTAGGGGGATGAATGCCAGTGTCTGAATTTACATGTGCTCAGCCATTTTTGGTCAAAAGTGAATAGAAAACAGTCAGCATGCAGCGAAATGGAAAGACATATAAACAGATTTATTTTAAATGAAGTATTTAGTCGTTGCTATGACTATATTGTCTCATTGTGTTGTCACCGTTTTACAGCGTGTGCGAACAAATCTCCCACACACACACACACACACACACACACACACACACACACACACACACACACACACACACACACACACACACACACACTTTGCATGGCTTCTATAATTTGCTCTCCCAGCAGTGTGTTTTTTTTGTCCAGCTCTATATATAGACATTTTCTATTACGAAGAGAAGAGAGAGGGAGAGAATGAATAATCCGATAAGAATTCTCTGGAACAATTTCACACTTCATTTTAAGAAAACTTGTCATTGCGATTTTCTACGCCTCCCCCCCGTCCTTTTTAGTCCCCCTCTTTCTCTCTCGTCTTTTAGTTTTTTAAAGTAGGGGAGCGCTTCCTCTTCTCATTAAAGGAGGGATTCTAAGAAAGGGGAGTAGAGGGATTCATGCTGACCTCATAGCAAACAGGAACAGGAAGGGAAGATGCCTATTCATGCACTTCTTCTTCTTCTTTGAAAGAAGAAAAGATAAAAGGAAATAGATTTTCAGGCTGTGGTCTTTGTTTAACATGCAGGATACTTCAGCATCCTCCCCTCTTTCCTCCCCTCTTTCCTCCCCTCTTTCCTCCCCTCTTTCCTCCCCTCTGTCTCCCTCTGTCTCCCTCTGTCTCCCTCTTTCCTCCCCTCTGTCTCCCTCTGTCTCCCCTCTGTCTCCCTCTGTCTCCCTCTGTCTCCCTCTGTCAGGCTGTGTTCGCCGTGGGAAACTTCAAAGCATCAGAGGAAGACGCTCATACTTTACAGAGACTGACACCAGCTCAGCAGAAGGACAGCCTGAGGGTGCTGAGTCAGCGCAGCCATGACTCCCTCTACAGGAAGACCCCCAGGGTGTCGGAGAGCAGGGAGGAGCTGGGGGCGGGGCTTGGCTCTGGAGCTCGCAGTAAGGTGAGGAGGGAGAAGGCGTCCCTGGCCTCTCTCAAACGAGCGAGCGCCGACGTTGAGCTCCTCGCAACTCGCGGCCCCATGGGGAAGGAAACCATGGTGACCTTCAGCAACACATTACCAAGAGTTGCAAATGGAAACAGCCCTATATCCCCCTCAGACGAGCCAGCCACCACGCAGCGTCACATGACCTTCCACGTGCCATTCGACCCCCAGAGGTCACGGCAGCTTGTGTCAGAATGGAAGCAGCGCTCGCTGGAGATCCGCAGCCAGAGCTCACGAGACGAGGAGGAGGGAGACGCGGGAGATGAAGGAGGAGCAGCAGGAGGAGACGGAGGAGAGCAGGATATGCCTTCCTCTCTGTATCCCACAGTGCAAGCCAACAAGGGCACCGCCACGCCAACCTCCGCCAGGATGGTGGTGGCACCCCCGCTCGTTCACATCCCCGAGGAGGCCACTCGACCGCCGCCTGTTTCCCCGAAGAGTGCCAAGACACGTGCCAAATGGCTGTCACTCACAGAGGAGGGACGGGTGGAAGGAAGGGTGAAGGAGCCCGGACAAGGGCCTATCGCTGTGTCGACTCCTCGAGTGCCAAACACGCAGCCCAACCAGCCGCCCAGCCAGCAGAGAGTCACTCAGGTGAGGAGGAAATTACTCAATAATAACCTCCAAGTCATAATAACTATAATCATGTGAGCAGCTATTTGTCAGACATGCAGCCAGTTCTGAAAAACACACTTTAGACAGGAAAGAGATTTATCAGCTGCCAAACGCTGCGAGTGCTACACACACACACACACACACACACACACACACACACACACACACACACACACACACACACACACGCTTATGATTTATTTTGTGGGTACAATCAAAGGAGAACAACATGTGAGTGTGGGCAATTTCACTGATTGGTTTCAGTTTTTAAAAATACTCCTACAAGGATCCAAACACTTGTTATAGAGAGAGATAAATCCTGTTGAGTGCCTGTGATAGGTATCGAGTTTGTAACAAGCTCACTTTACAGTGTTTACCATAACGAATGTCTCTAAATCCTCCATGTTCTGCTGCACTAAACAACTTTACATCGCAGCTCCTTTACTGGACCTTGGAATATGTAGAGCAGTCTCAGTACAAGGTCTTTTCGATGCCTAATGGAGTATTTATCAGATCACATGCCCATCTTCTGTAAAACTTTCCCAGCTGTTGTGAACCTTTGAAATATTAGGGCCTGTGTCCACTTAAAGCATCATTGCACTGGCAGCACCTTCAGTCATAACAAGGCCAATGCAATTACACACTTCCACAGCTCAGGGTCCTTGTGGGGATGTATCCACTCAGGCTTTTTTTGCACAGGCAGAGTCCATGACCTCAATTTCAGATGACTTCTCACCAGCGTTCGCTCACTCCCACTTCATTTGGTTGTGAACGTTTGCGGCATGTTTCATATTCGCCCTCACTGAACTGTATTGGACAAAAAAAAAAATCTGGAAACAATCGATAAAGATTTTAAGTAGCAGCTTCAGATGGAGATTCTACCTTAAAAAAAAACAAGAGTGATTGCTTTACCTCCTGAATGTACCTCTGTCGGGGTTGTATTTCCAGGTCAAGAGCTGCTGCTGATGCTAAGACATGATTTCAGTTGTTTTTAGTATGCAGACCATTTTACAACAGATACTCCTGAGGAAGACCGAATGGTTGAGGGACAACTTTCATAACCTAGCAGCTGTAGGCACTGGTCAAGAACACTCTAAAATTGAGGGCGTTTGGTGCTGCCGCCACAGAAAACACTGGTAGTGGAAACAGGCCCTAAATTTTCATCAGAACAAACATTTACCAGAACTAACTTTGTTGGAGTTTGCTGATCCAGAGCAGCGTTTGCAACACCTTTGCAAAGTTTGACAAGACTTTCTTCTGCTTTCCTCCGCTCCTCAGGTGATAGCCATATCTAAGCAGCAGGGTCATGGACCCCTCGCTCCATCCACTAAGACCTCAGAAGGCGGATCCTCCTCCGGCGGTGGGTCCAACTGCTCCGAGTCACCCTACTACAGAATCCCATCAGACCGAGACAGCTGCACTGGAAGCAACCCGGGAAGCATGGCGGGAAGCGGGAGCATCGTCACCATCGACGCTCACGCCCCTCACCATCCGGTGGTGCGCGTGTCTGCCAGTAACGGCAAGCCGTGGGAGTGGAGGAACACGATCAGTGGAAACATGATGGCTGCAGACACAGCGGGGGAGAAACACCGTGCGGCGCTGCAGCGACAGGAGAACACGAGTCACTACCGCGACTACAGGACGCTTCCTGTGAAAACAGACTCCATCTGCTCCTCCTCTCTCAGCGGGAGCAACGAAGGAGGTGCAGAGCCACCTCCCCCTCCTCCCCCTACCTCCTCCTCCCCTCTGCCTCCCCCTCCTCAGCTGTCATCATCCCCTCTCCCGCCACCTCCTCCTCACTCGTCTTCTTCCCCCTTGCCACCTCCTCCACACTCCACCTCACACCCCACTCCGATACCCCCTCCTCTCCCTCACCCCGCCTCCTCTCACATGCATCCCCCTCTTCACTTGTCTTCCCAGATGCCCCCTCCACCTCTTCCACCTCCTCACCCCTCTTCCTCTCAAATGCCTCCACACCCTCACCACTCCTCCTCCCAGATGCCCCCACCTCCACTTCCACATCAGTCCGCTCAAATGCCCCCACCTCCACTTCCACATCCACATCACTCCTCCTCCCAGATGCCCCCACCTCCACTTCCACATCCACATCACTCCTCCTCTCAAATGCCTCTACCTCCTCACCCTTCCTCCTCCCAAATGCCCCCACCTCCGTCAACTTCCCCTTTGCCACCTCCACCTCACCACTCCTCCTCCATGCAGCCTCTTCCTCACCCGTCCTGCTCCAGCATGCTCCCCCCTCCTCCTCACCCTGATTTACTGATGGACGCCCACAGCCAGGCGTTGTCCCGCACCTCCACGCTGCCTCGTCGGCCCTCCGTCTCCGCTCGCAGCCACGCCGAGCAGGAGCACTACTACAAGGCCATGCAGAATGAACGGATGTTATAGTGACGGAGAAAGTGGACGGGTATCACTGTCACATCCATGATTGTACTTCAGAGATGCAGCTGAGAGAGGATGTGAAAGTAATGAGGTTTCAGCAGGTGAATGGAGACGTGACTTTTTAAAAAAAGGACAAAAAAAAAGCTTCTGTCAAAAAAGCTGGAAAAAGGAGGCGGCAGAGGTGAAGGACCATGTGGAGGTCTGGCAGCTCACACACACACACACACACACACACTCAGCAGGGGATTGGCTCACACACACACACAGACACACACTGCCCACAGTGCTGGCTCCACAGCCTGAACTGACGAAAGATCAGACAAGAGGGAAGAAAGTTGAAAACCCCCTTTTCACCTCATATCTGAGCGCACACATCCTCTGCGTTCCTTCATTCAAAGACTGAGTGAATGCTGCTGCAGCTGAAAGAGAGATATCACAATGAGCGGTCTGGGATTTGCTAAATCAGGCTCCCCTCGAGAGGCGGGATAAGAGTGAGAAAACAAAACAACTACAGGCAATACTAGCTCTCCTCAAACTCAGCTGTTTGAGACCGCCGAACAATACGCAGAGAATTTGCTGTTGCAACCGGCTGAAAAACGTATCCTTCAAAGCACTCAAAAAGCGACGAATAAAGGGAAGAATGCAGTGATGTGAAGTTCAAAAGCAGGTTCAAGAGTATTAGCCACAACCTACAAAGGCATGAGGATGTTGTTACTCCGCTGAATAAACACACCAAATGGGGATTTTTATGTTTGATGCTGAGAAAATCTGCGAGAATCCACCAGAGAGAGACAGCTTAGAGAGTGTTGCTTCAGGACGGGGGTGTGAGAAGCAAGGGGGGGGGGGGGTGTATAAGAAGCACCGCCAACAGTTGGACGACCCCATGCAGACGTCACTGGTTGGATTACTGTTGTGAACGTGCGAGGCGGTAAAACGGGGAGATAGAATCGCTCCTGAAGTGAAGAGGGTGATCGGGCCACGTCGCACGGTACGCCGAGCCAAGCAGCCAGTCTGTCTTTGCTGTGTGCAGACCTGCCGCAGAGCCTGAAGCGGCTCTAAGGAGATTAACGTTTGTTTATCAAACCATGCGAGCACACTCTTTCCTCAGTGGTTTCTTCACTCTTGGCCCTCTGGCAAAATCAGGATGGTGACTGGAATGTTAATGGGAAGCTGCCCAGTCAGAAGAGCCACCGACAGGCACAGCGGAGCCGGCGCGCCTTTACAACTGGCTGTCTCTGGTTATACCTGTTAGCATTTCAAGGGTTTTGGTACCACTTTCAAATCATGCATACTTTATAAGGGTAATATATGACTCTATGATCAGCTATTTTGGCTCTCTAGATCACTCATTAGACATTCCTCATGGAAACATTTGGATTGTGTTTACTCTTTTTACATAAAGAGCAGTGCAGCGAGACAAATAATCCTACCGACTCAATATTTACCATCATTTATTCACCAATCTGTTCATTCATTTCAAAACAAATTTATTCCTTTCCAGCTTCACAGGACACCTCCAGTCTGTCATAAGGCTGTCCTTATTTCAGTATGCTCCATTTCAAAGTGATACCAAGATGCGTGTTATTTTTTTCTGTGGAATAAATCACTGATTTGTGGAGCAAAATCAAACTGTAGATGGTTAAACCAGCACCATAATATACCAGCAAAACGCCAACAAGGGTCAACAAGAGGTCAAGGTACATACATTGGATTAAAGTTGTCTGGGCTGATATTGAGGACTTGTTTATGCTGAAACAAACTCTGCCCAAACGAATCAGCCAGTGAGTGCCAGGTCATTTATTGTTATGGTTAAGAACAAGCATGAAGGTCCACCTCCAGCTGAGATTGCAAGTTCAAATCCTGAAAAAAGCGCTTTTTGAGGCAATATCATTGACTGTTTTAAAGATGAACAAATCTTCTTCAACTGTACGAAAGTGAAGCCAAAATACCACTCATACTGGGAACTAACATTGTGCTCATTTGGAGACAGAATCTGTGCAGGATCGGATGGTAGAGTGACAGCATTGACACCCCACTCTTCAGCCTTTGAAAAGACAGGTTTAAATTCAAACCAAATGTGAGGACTCTCCTACGGGCAATGCCCACAGGATCCGGAACGGCTCCGCTCCGGCACGGCAGGTGGATCAAACGTGCAAGCATTATAATCCATGCCTGTCGTTCCACAGAATTTGTCCGCCGTTGGGCTCCGCTGCGGATCGGACCCGATCAGATCAGACACACAGGGCTTCTATTTTTGCCGGACGCCGGAGCACGGCGCATCAATTTAGTGCAGGGTAGCAGCGGAAGTTGTATGCGATTACAGAGTAAAATATCCAGTTAATTTTCAAAATAAAATAAAGTCAGTCCATTGTACTCTTCTTAACTTGACAATAGAAGAGGCCAGGGTTGTGGGATGTGGGTGTTTATATACACCGCAGTTTCACAAGAAATATCGGTAATCTGGCGATCGCTTCTCCTCGGACGGCGGCAGTGGATCGGGTCCGGTACCTGATCGGCCTGCCGGTCCGGAGAGCCGTTCCAGACCCAGTGGGATTCCCGGGTTAGTCGACACAGTCTAGAGTGATGCTGCTATCCCTTTTTATGGCACTAAATAAGCAATGTTGGACAAGCTACTGAAAGTTTAAGTTGTTCACTGTAGTGAGCAACCTAAGTGTTGCCTCTTTTTGGAAATGACACACAGCTATCAGCACCCATGGGTGTTTTAAAAAAAGAGAAAGGTTCAAGTTGTCACCTTATATACAGACTTCCATTGCTTTCAACAAAGTTCTCAATGTGAAGTTTCTATGCAACCGTGTGGCACTTTCTCCTGCTAGCTTGCGTAAGCTTTAGCTCTCAACAGACCCGCCGCATGTGACCAGTTAGCAAAGACAAAGAAACGCGCTGTTTGGTTAGTAATTATGGGAGATCAGAATTACTAGTCCTGGAAGTGGGCAAAGCTTTCCTTCTAGCACATAGACATAGACATTACCTGTACAGCTGTCAGTCAGGAGGAAGAGTGGTGTTTTGGCTTCACTTTTAGAGAGCTATCATGCTGTCCATCTTATTCGCAGTCTCAATAATAATTCATCTGATGGTGATTAATAATAAAAAGCCTGCTGTCATGAGCTTTGAACAGATGTTTACAACTGGAGAAACAGAACAGCGTGTTTACCTGATCACTCCTGCCTCACTCCTGTGTATTTAAGCTACGTTGTACAAAGTTGTTAACCGGTTCCTATCATTTCATACAGCCGAGATTTTTCTATCAGAAGATATTCCGTCCAATGACAAGTGCTTTTTTATTTGACTTTGATCATATTTCCATGAAAGCTTCAGACTTACCTTCACACTGATGAAAAAAAAAAAGTTGTTTTTCACCCATAAAACATCTAACGGGAACATGAAGTGATTTTGTAAAGTTGTGCGAGGAAGGGAAATGAGTTAAATGGAACAAGTCGTGTTTTGTAGAGGAGCTCCTTAGACAGGGGGGCTGGTAGATAATGTTGCTCGTTGGTTTGTGCTGCATGTGTGTGTACGAGCGTGTTTTTTTTTTACTTCTGTGATTCAATTTTCAGACAGAACAACATGCTGCATTTTTCAGTGCTGGTGATTATCGTCCTACTTTCCCACATTTTTGACTGTAAATTTACTTGATATTCCCTAATATTATTAATACTCTTATTATTCCGCAGTCCTTTTTTACGGGCTACTGTTTTTTATCTGTGTTGATGTGTAACATTAATAACATGATTGAATAAAAAAATGAAGACTTCTTAAGAGCTTTCTTCTTGTGTTACTTGACGGCACAGTGGCAGGTGTGTGCAGTAATACGTCTTAAAATAGAGACGGAGTCGATGTCGCCGCGGCTCTTACCGCCACTCTAATGAAAAGGATCCTCTCCATTGATTCTTGGGTTAGGAGGGCTTTCATGCTCATTCATACTGTATGCACTCGCTCACACACGCCGCCAGACGGATTCAGCACACGCACATTTGCAATGCAACATTTGCTCTCTTCCTGCGGGCTAGTGTCAGGTTTCTGTAATGAATTCTGCGAAAATGTTGGTCGGTCCCAGTTGACCTGCAGGGGAGTGTGCACGCACAAATGTGAGTGTGTATGTGTGAAAGCGATATAACTGAGTTTGTTTTCATGTGTTAAAGCAAATATGCTGGCTGTGTTTTGTTGAGGAGGAGGGGGGTATGTTTTATTCTGTGCTTTGCAAATAAAGTCAAGAAAAAAAGCTGAAGTCTTGAGGAGATTCTTGGCATTTTGACTCGAGCTTGACATTTTCAAAAGATCCGAATAAGAAAAACAGATCTGAAAGAGGAAGAGGTTTTTTTCTTTTTTGACATTTTGCCCTCTCATTCAACACAAAACATCTCCTTGTAACTAAACAGAAGCCTATTTCTTTATTCTGATATGAATTACAACATGATTCATCTGCACTATAAGGTGGCTGATTTTGAGGACATGACTTTGGGTGTGTGTGTGTGTGTGTGTGTGTGCGTTTCTGAACTTAGGGAGCGCACGGTCCAGGTTATGTGTCCACTTCAATATCAGTCACATTAGTGCACTTTTCTATCTGCATGCATGTTGGAGTGTTTGTTTCAGCATGTATGCATATGTGTGTGTAGGAGTGTGTGTCCAGTGCGTTGGAGCATTGAGCTGTGTGATGAGGCCGTGCAGGCGATGGGGGTGCAGATGGTGTACTGAGGCCTGAGGACAGTCAGCCTGTCCATGACTCACACACTCAGCAAGCCAGCAGATCTCTCTCTATCCGTCTTTCTGGCTCTCCTTTTTTTCCCCTTGGTGGCCCAGAAAGCACAACAACAAGTGTGTGTGTGTGTGTGTGTGTGTGTGTGTGTGTGTGTGTGTGTGTGTGTGTGTGTGTGTGTGTGTGTGTGTGTGTGTGTTTGTGTGTTGGTGACCATGGGAGGCAGCAGAATATGCGGACTGAGCTGTCTTTATGCATGTGTCTATTTTGGTGACCGTGTGCCTGCTTGTGT